TCCGGGGGTCAACGCCCCGCGGCCCGGGTCTGAGGACCAGGCCTCCTGGTGGTTCAGAAAGCTGATCAACCAGGTGTTGCTGTGGCTGCACGCAAACCAACATACGAGCCATCAGGCCCGGCTGATCCGGAACTTGACTTTAGGTGCTTGCCAGTGCCAGCTGAAGACTGCAGGGGTCTGTGGTAATCCCCCTTATGTGTGCTGGGAGGCAGTTTTGAACAGTCTCGGGACCCTGGACACTTTTGTTGGTCTTCTTAAGTGCTAGTGACACCCTGCTTGTCATTGGGGGGGATGGTGCATCGTCTGCCAAGTCTTTTGCTTTTCGTAGTGGGTGATAATCGTGTGCAATTTCGGTACTAGTCCCTCTAGGATTTTTCCAGGTGTCTCTAATATGTATCTCTCCCTCTGCGTTCCCGGGAATACAGGTTTAGGAAACCTCAAGCGCTCCATAATTGAGGTGTGTTATCTCCGTTATGGCGCCGTTGAAAGTTCTCTGTAATTTTTCTAGGTCGGCAATTTCACTGCCTTTGAAAGGTGCGTTAGTGTGCAGCTATATTCAGCCTAGATAGAAGAAGTTGACCTGAAGAGTGTCATCAGGCTTGACTCCCTAGTTTTGAAGGTTTCTCATTAATCCATCTGTGCATTTTTCTAGCATGATGCAATAGATTACAGTGTTTATGGTCTTGAAGGTGAGATCTCCGACACTTGATCACTCCGGGTCTTTGGACGTTGGTGTTTCGCTCTATTTTGTGGCCAGAATTTGTTTGGTATTCTGATGGATAGATTTAAATTTCCTCATGTTTCCATATCTGAGTAATTGAAAATTTCTCCTCGTTGAACTTCATATTGTTTTCTTGCAGCCCACTGGAAAGATTTGGTTTGATGACTGCCTGGAGCTTTGCCAGAAGTCTGCAATGGAAGACATGTCATGCAGATTCGGGTGTCATCTGCAAAGGAAGACACGGTTGGCTGTGGCCTGACATCCTTGGTCTATGTCGGTTATAAGGATGAGGAACAAGATGGGAGCGAGTAATATGCCTTGTGAACAGAGCGTTTTCACCCGTAGGCTGCCTGGACTTTACTCTGTTGACGACTATCTCTCGGTGTTCTGTTAGTTGAGGAAAATTATGATCCATCGACCGATTTTCTGTTATTCCTTTTAGCACGCATTTGCGCGCTATTACGGCCATGGTCACACTTGTCGAAGGCTTTTGCAACAGTCGGTCTATATTACATCTGCTTCTTTTGTCTTCTAGTGCATTTAGGTCCCTTGTGTAGTGGTCCAATTGTTGGACAGACAGGAGCGACCTGTTCTAAACCATGTTGCCCTGGGTTGTGTAACTGATGGGTTTCTAGATGCGTGGTGATCTTGTTCTTAGGACCCTTTCAATATTTTTATGATATGAGGATGTTAGTGCTATTGGTCTGTAGTTCTTTGCGCTTGCTTTACTGCCCCTTTGTGGAGTGGGGCAATTGTCTGTTGTTTTTAGTAACTGTGGGACGACCCCCGTGTCCATGCTCCCTCTCCATAGGATGGAAAAGGCTCGTGATAGGGGCTTCTTGCAGTTCTTGATGAACACAGAGTTCCATGAGTCTGGCCCTGGGGCAGAGTGCATGGGCATGTCATTTATCGCCTGTTCGAAGTCATTTGGCGTCAGGATAACATCGGATAGGCTTGTGTTAATCAAATTTTGTGGCTCTCTCATAAAAAATTCATTGGTAATAACCCCTTAAGTATGCTGGGAGTCGGTTAAACAATCTTGGGCCCCTGACACTTATTTTGTTGTCTCTCATCATACTCATGGCACCCCTGCTTTTCATTCGGGGATGTTGGATCCCCTGCCAAGTCTTTTCCTTTGGTAGGGAGTGATTTTCATGTGCAGATTTGGGACCAGCCCCTCTAGGATTTTCCAGGTGTATGTTATTAAAGGTGTCCCGTAGCTTGATCACTAGCTCACTCAACTTGCACACTGAGGTGCAAAGTTCGAATCTTGTCTGGTACGGCTGGAAAACATTAGGGACGTGTTTCCACAAGACACCTGGTGTCCCTGTTCACCCATCAGTAAAATGGGTACCCGGGGGTTAGTTGACTGGTGTGGTTCGCATCCTGGGACAAAACTGACCTACTTTGCCCAAAATGCTCTGCATAACAAATGGCTTTCTGTGTAGTAGTATGTCATTGATGTCAGCTAGGCCTGTATACCTTGTACATGTACTTGTAAAAATAAAGATATTATTATATTATCATTATTATTATTATGTATCTTTTTCGCCTGCACTCCAAGGAGTACAGGTCAAGGGACTTTAACTGTTCCCAGTAATTTAGATGATTTATTGTGCTTATAAGTGCGATGAAAAGTTCTCTGTATATTCTCCAGGTCTGCAGTTTTGCCTGCCTTGAAAGGTACCATTAGTGTACAGCCTAGAAAGAACAAGCAATTTGAAGTCATCATTGGCTTGACATCCCTAGTTTTGAAGATTCTCATTATCTATCGTATCATTTTCCTAGCAGATGTGGTAGACACATTGTTGTGATTTGAAAGTGAAATTCTCTGACATTATCATTCCCAGTAGTTTTCCACTATTGTGTGGTTGGAATTGTTTTATATTCTGATTCTGTTTTTATTTCCTTGATTTTTCCATAGCAGAGTAATTGAAATTTATCTTCACTGAACCTCGTATTGTTTTTCGAAGCCAATTTAAAAACTTGAGTAGTGTCCTCTTGGATTATTATTATTATTATTATTATTATTATTATTATAATAAAGGGGGAAGTGCTAAACCTGTAGGATTATACAGCACCTGTGGGGGGGATGTGGAAGGTATTCAGGCTTAATTTGGGGAACTGGAGCACAGATCCAATTTCCTAGATCAAGAGCCCATCACCAACATCAAGGAACCTTCCTTGAGGGAAATGTCCTCTTGGAGATTTGCAGTGTCCTCAATGGATGACACTGTCAGGGAAATTCTGGTATCTTCAGCAAAGGAGGACACATTGCTGTGGCTTACATCTCTGTCTACGTCAGATATGAGGATGAGGAAATGGGTGGGAGCGAATACTGTACCTTGTGGAACAGAGCTTTCTACTGTAGCCACCTCAGACTTTACTCTGTTTATTATTAATTACTCTGTGTTCTATTTGTTAGGAAGTTACAGATCTGTCTACCCACTTTTCCTGTTATTCCTTTATCACACACTGCGTTATTACACCATGATCGCACTTGTCGAAGACTTTCACAACGTCTGTGTGTACTACATCTGCATTTTGTTTGTCCTCCAGTGCATCTAAAACCACGCCATAGTGGTAAAGTAACTGTGAGAGGCAGGAGCAACCTGCTCCAAACTCATACTGCCCTGGGTTGTGCAGTTGCTGGATATTCAAGTTTTTGGCAATCTTTCTTCTTAGAACCCTTCCAAAGATTTTTATGATGTGGGACATTAGTGCTATCAGTCTAATTCTTTTCAGTTGCTCTACCCCCACCTTTGTGGAGCAGGGCTATATCAATTGTTTTTAGTCAATGTGGGATGACCTGTGTCTATGCTCCCTCTCCATAGAATATTTAAGACATGTGAAAGGGGTTTCTTGCAGTTCTTGATGAACACGGAGTTCCCACAAGTCTGGGCCTGGGGCAGAGTGCATGGGCATGTCATTTATTACTTTTTGAAAGTCTTGTGGTGTTAAAATATCAGAAATTACTGAATTAACCAAATTTTGAGTCTTGGTTTTACCTGGAGTTTACCTGGAGAGAGTTCCAGGGGTCAACGCCCCTGTGGCCCGGTCTGTGACCAGGCCTCCTGGTGGATCAGAGCCTGATCAACCAGGCTGTTACTGCTGGCTGCACACAAACCAACGTACGAGCCACAGCCCGGCTGATCAGGAACCGACTTTAGGTGCTTGTCCAGTGCCAGCTTGAAGACTGCCAGGGGTCTGTTGGTAATCCCCCTTATGTATGCTGGGAGGCAGTTGAACAGTCTCGGGCCCCTGACATTATAAAAAATTCATTTAGATCCCATAACTACATTCCATTACAGTTCTATAAACTACTACATTCCATTAGGGAGCTCCATAATATAGCTTTAAATTATTGCTATTCTATTCAGAGAGTGAGCATTAAACCCATAGGGGTCATACAGCACCTGGGGAATGAGAGGTAATCAAATCAAATCCAAGGAACGAGTGGCTAGGTTAATTTCCTAGAACCAAGAGCCCTTCAGTGGCATGAAGGCAAACCCCTTTGAAAGGTCATTAAGGCTGTTAAAAATACAGTGGACCCCCGGTTAACGAACTTTTTTCATTCCAGTAGTATGTTCAGGTGGCAGTACTGACCGAATTTTTTCCCATAAGGAATATTGTGAAGTAGATTAGTCCATTTCAGACCCCCAAACATACACGTACAAACGCACTTACATAAATACACTTACATAATTGGTCGCATTTGGAGGTGATCGTTAAGCGGGGGTCCACTGTAACTTTCCAGCAGGGTCAAAGGGACGAAACAAGATCCTGATCTCATATCAAAGCCCAGCTGCTCCTTAAGCTTTACTGACACCCTGGGATGTGACCCACAACAGTCAACTAACACCCAGGTACCTACTTACTGCTAGGCTAGTATGGAGAACAAGTGTAAGGAAACATGTCCAGTGTTGTTAACCATAAGGGGGATTACCAATAGGCCCCTGGCTGTCTTCAAGAAGGCACTGGACAGGCACCTAAAGTCAGTACCTGACCACCTGGCCTGTGATTCATACGTCAATTTACGTGCGGCCAGCAGTAACAGCCTGGTTGATCAGGCCCTGATTTGCCAAGAGGCCTGGTCATAGACTGGGCCACGGGAACATTGAGCCCTGAAACCCTCTCCAGGTATACTCCAGGTTTGCCAGGTATCAAACTAAGGACCCTCAGTGTGAGCTGAGGGCACTACCAATTCTTCTTGCTTCAACATTTCATTCATAATTTATCTAAATTTTTTTATATAAATAGCAACAAATAATACAAAGCAAACTTATATAAAGATTTATTTCACAGGGCAATATAGACATACAGTGAACCCCCGCGAATTCGTGGTTCCGAATTCGCGGCTTCAGTAATTCACAGATTTTCCTTAGAATCTAATTAATAATTGTTCACGGAAATCCCAGCAAATTTGTGGATTTTTTTTGGCTTTTCTTGTGGCAATATATAATTTTTTGTGCATTTTAATGCTAATTATATTAATAAAAATATAATTTCATAATTTTGTAACAAATACACCTACCATCCGACTTACGACCGAGTTCGGTTCCAAGAAACCGGTCATAAGTCGAAATGGTCGTAAGTCAAACTTTACTACTGAATATCAACAAAACATTTTTGTAATGACTATTTTATTGTTTTATTTTGGTATTTCATGTTTTACTTTACTTTCTATGTTGCTAGTACTGTATTTTATACTGTAAGGTTTAGAATAAACACTGTGTACAACACAAATAGTTGTTAATTTCCCAAAAATTTGGCATAAAAAACACGGTCGTAAGTCAAGTGGTCGTAAGTCGAGCAGGTCGTAAGTCGGATGGTAGGTGTATTTACGTAAATTCAGCAATTCGTACTGCACTGCTAATTCATCATCATCTTCAGTCGGTATCATTCATTACTGGTGAGTACCCGTACATTTAACTTTACTTTTACTAAATTATTACCATATATTTACCATACATATACCAAAGAAAACAGGGTTGCATGAATTACAGTATATATGTATAAGGTAACATCGGTATTTTACATTCTAGCACTGCGGGAGACATAGCATTACAGTACTGTAAACGGGTTTATCTTCACATTTCTTTTTAAGGGTGATGTATGAAGCTGATTTTGAAATTAAAGTGTTTTGGGGCATATTTAGGGTTTAAACTATAAAAATAGGCATTTTTTTAACAGTGTCCAGAATTCGCGTATTTTCCAAATTCGCGGGTGGTCTTGGAATGTAACCCCCACAAATTTGGGGGGACTACTGCATAATGTAAAAATTGCAAAAAATAATGTATTCACAATTAGCTCTGCAGCCTTGAGAAAAACATTATCTTAACACTTCTTGTAAATCGAGTGACATTGTCTTAACATTGACTTAATATTCCCAGTCCCATTTTTAACACAATCACAGTAAGTACACAATTAACTCTTGTCAAGAATCACATAATGGGTCAGATACAGAAAATTAGGGCTCGGGAACATATTTACCCATTTTGCACTGTTTATGGTAAAATAGGTTCCTAATACCGAAAGTTCGATTTACAATGAACTTTCGGGAACACAATGATTGTGAATGTTACTCTGACATAATTCCTAAATATAAAAAAGTATACTGTATACATATTATATATACCTACGAAAAACCTCCGTTAACGATGGTTATATGTACAATTTACAGATACGTTTTTAACACATTGACAGTTTCCCACTAAAGCCGGGTGACCACCACTTGCAGGGCATAACATAACATCTATCATTTAGCTACTGTGATGCCTCCCTAACTCCATGGATTTTGTCATATTTACATTGAAATGAAATCACCCATTTGTAATTCTGAGGAGAGCACCAGCTCTTCTTGGTCCTGTCTTAAAATTTTTGACCTACTGATATGACTGAGCCCTGTCATGGCCTATATGGACTCTTTGTTTTTTACCTAGTTGATGCTCAGGTCATTCTGTTTTTATATTTATGAGGATTGAGGTCCAGCTCCTGGGTCCTTCCTCCTTAAACATAGATAGACTAGCATGATACATTTCTACTCAATATGAATACAACCAGATCACAGAGATGTAAACAGTTCATTACCACTGTAACTTTAGGACCCAGTCCCTGGACCCATTATGTGGCTCTGTAATCTTTAGACTACCATTGACAGCATACATAAAGGGAATTACCAATTGACCCCTAGCATTTTCAAGAAGGCACTGGACAGGTACCTAAAATTAGTACCAGACCAGCCAGGCTGTAGTTCGTACATTGATCTGCATGTGGCCAGCAGTAACAGCTTGGCAGATCAGCCCTGATCCACCATGAGACTTGGTCACAGACCGAGCTGTGGGGGCATTGACCCTCAAAACCCTTTCCAGGTATACTCCAGGTATACACAGGATGGGCATGTGTTGTATAATAAAGCTGTTGAACTAACACCTATATTTAAATTTACATATAATGTTTCCCTGCCATCATGAGTGGTGTCTGGAGGCTGGTGAAGGTCAGGGCAGCCATTGCTGTAGCACAATGTATGTTTGATACCCTGCTAAACCCCTCAATTTATTTCACTCAGTTTGAATTTTTGTAAGCATTTTGCTGAACTTAATATGATCTAAATTATGTTCACATTATCCCATATCTATGTAATTATTTTTATCAATAAATATTTTATTTCTTAAGCCTCAGAGATGTAGTGAGGAAGAAACCCTGAATCACTGCTTAACCCATGAAACAGATTTCTAATTTAGCAAGTTTACTTTAATCATGAGAGGCACTAAACCTATTGTGGGTTATTCTGTACCTGGAAAATGAGAAGTCTTCAGGTTTAATCCAGAGTACGAGAGGAAAAAAAAACTATTTCTTTGATTTAAGAGTCTTTACACTGCTTCAGATTACAGTAGTCCCCCATGAAGGAAATGGCTGTGTTCTCCTGTCTGCTATGAAGTAAAGCAGATGATGTGTTGGCCTTTGATGACCTGATGGTCTCCCAAGACATTAGGCATGCATTCAGATAATGAGTCATTTTTGCAATCCACAGTATTCTAGAAAACAGAGTAAGATAAAATATTTTTAAATACTACTGAAACATCGTTTCCATGATCACAGTTTTGGCGGCAATGTGTAGATTAAAATATGTTTTTTGATCTATGTACAATACTAAAACATTTATTTGTTCTTTATAAATCTTTTTTTCCCGAAAATACTACTGTATTCCTTTCCAAATTA